AAAACTATCTGAAAGAATGAGCACTTGGGGCGCCTGGGTGGCTCACTCAGTTGGGTATCCGACTGGCTCAGGTCATGATCTCGCAGGGGTTTCGAGCCCCACGTCGGGCTCCATGCTGACATCTCAGAGCCTGGAGCCTGCTTCGGATTCTGTGTCTCCCTCTCTCTCTCTCTCTGCCCCTTCCCCACTCATCCTCTGTCTCTCTCTCCTTCAAAACTAAATCAACATTAAAAAAAAAAAAAAAAGAATGAGCACTTGAGAGGAGCCTCGAAGGCTGATATAACAACAGCAAGTCACTCCGTTCCCATAATAATAATGTCATTACTCTCATTATCATCACAGCAGCTAATATCCACTGTTTATACTATTCTGGGCATCACGTGAAACCCCTTACACAGCTCACCTCCATCATCCTCGTGCTCGTGTGACAAGTAAGGAAACTGAGGCCTAGAAAGTTAAGAAAACTAGGAAGCATCAGAGCGCAAATTCGAACCCAAGCCCGTGTGTCTCCCAAGGCCACCAGCCGCTGTTCAGCAGGCCGAGGGAGGGCTCATTCCGGGTAGGACCCGAGCGCAGGCAGACAGAATACGCGGCCAGGGATGCCCACCTGGGGACAGTGCCTGGAGCATGGCCACAGCCCGGTTATGAGAGCCTCAGTGCTGGGCCCAGGCACCTGTCCTTATTAATGGACAACGGAGAGCCACGGGAGGTGTGACGCCGCTGGACTCCATCCGCGGGACGGCTGGCCAAGCAGATCGGGGCCGAGAGAACAAGCGGAGAGGCCGTCACAATGGTGTGGGTGCCAGACTGCAGCTGGGTGAGGAGAGGAGGAGGGTGGGGACCTGTGAGCATGTGCCCAGGGGCGAGGGATGGCGGGTTAGGTATGTGTCAAAACGGGAAAGTGTGTGCATGTGTGAGCCCACGTGTGCGAGAGCGCCGGGTCCTTCCAGCTGAAGAAGGTTGCAGAGCCGTCCTGATGGGAGGAGGGGACAGGACGAGGGGACTGGTCATGCTGAGGAGGACGGTCTGTGAGCGGGAAGCTGTTCTTTCACAAATCTGCAGAGTCCCGAGAAGCCCACACGGCCCAAGGGACTCAGTGCACATTTGTTCAAAGGAAGCCCAGGTCAGATATTCTGAGCGGGAACGGCCACATTCCCATGGCCCAGCCTGGTCCCCAGGGTCCCAGCCCCCTTCCCGGACTCGTACTCCGCCCCACCCCCACCCCTGGCCGCCCTGAATATCTTAGTCACAAACGTGCTCCTGTGTGGGATCCAAGCCGACTTCATACTTCCCCAGGTCAAGGTCTCCCCTCCTCCCTCTTATTCCAGAGCAGAAAGGATGTTGCCAATTGGTTCCAGACTTTTGTCTCAGCCAGAGATGTTCTGCTTCTCATCAGGCCCAGAGAGCCCTGCTCAACTCCTGGGGCCACGGCCACAGGGTGGCCAAAGGCTCTCCCTCTGGGGAATTTCATAGCCCCACCAAATGGTGGCCCTGGGTCTCATCCTCTCCAGGGGACACCTCTTTCGACATTCTACCCAGCCTGTTTTAATGCTGGCAGAACGGAACAGATAGGCCAGTGTCCAGAGGGGGCCGGCTCCTAGACCCAAGAGAAGAAACTCCATTTCAGCTTCTGGGGCAACTCCCGTCGGACTGGGTGAAGGGGGAGGCTTTCTCCAAAGGAACCAGAGACCAGACCCTTTCTCGCTCAGCTCAGCTGCATCCCTGAATTACGAATTAATGAGTACAATTTGGCACCTGGAGTGAAGAGGACTCTCAAGATTGTATAATCTACCAAAATTAGAGGAAGAAATGGCTTAGAAATCATGGAATCTAAACTCCTTATTGACAGAGGTGGAAACAGAGGTCTAAAACGTTGGAGGCTTTCACCTGCCCAAGATCAGTCTAAACTATTTCTGACTTTCACCAAAAGTCCAGTTTGTATCCAAAAGGATATCTGTGGCATGAATGCACTTGCCCTTGGGCCAAAGCCAGGACTAGAACCTGGGTCCGTGCCCTCAGGCTCATAGCCTTTATGCTTCAGGCTCTCTGCCTCCGGGGACTGTGCCTGTCACGGCTGGTTTGCTTCCTCCAGGGCGCTCAGGCACTTGGGCAGAAGCAGATGGGTGACTTGTTAGACAGTGAGTGAGTCCTAGGGGCTGCCTGGCACAGTCTGCCCTCCAGAGAGCAGCCAGCTAAGCCCAACAGGGCTGGGGGGCAGGGGACCATGAGCTCCGGACGGAAGATCCAGGTAGACGACTCGCCTAAGGCTATTGGAAGTTTCCAGGGTCTAGGGAACTGGTCCTTCTCTGCTGTCCCTAGCCACGCCCTCCAAGAAAACATAATGGAGGAGGCTCTTTGCTCACCAGGGTACCCACCCTGGGCACCTGCCCTTTAGAAAGGGTCATCTCAGTGCTGGCAATAAAGAAAAGAAGGCAAGAGACGTGGGATGGGAGTATGGCATCACAGATCCTGGCAGAAAGTCAAAGACGCTGCGCCACTGCTGGGTGTGTGACTTCTGAGCCTAAGTTTGCTCGTCTTCATGATGTCCTGATTGGGTGCTCTCTCAAGGCCCCTCCTGGCTCTCAGAAATCTAGGATTCTCTTCTCCCTCACGCTAGTGTTCCCAGTAATTCATACACAGTAGGTACTGAAAACAAGTCACTGAATGAATGAATGAATGAAATGGATCCTCAGTCAGTCCAAAGTGCATACAGAAGCCGGGAAGGCAATTCTTCCCTCTGGTGTTCACCGCCCAGAACACCACCGAAGGCACGGGTCTCGGAAATGCCCTGGCAATGCAGGAGCCCTCTGCAAACTGGCTTCATCTCCCAGATGCACAGATGTGGTCGGAGGAGCCACGGGAAGCAGGAAAATGAGCCTAAAGGAGGGAGGGTGGCCTGGACCCCAATAGGAGCAGATCACCCCGACGTGTGCTCTCTTACCACCTGGCTTCTCTCCATCCAACCCCTCCTGGCCCTGTCTCCACTCTGTGTCCCCTTCCCGCCCTCCCCGTCCTCCCTCCTTCGCGGAACCTCTGAGCCTTCAGCTGTCCCCGAGCTGCGTGATCCTGTTAGCCAGGAAGACTCGGGGGCTGAGATGAGACGGCCAGGGGGGCCGGGAGCCTCAGCTTTCTCAGGGTCAGGGCAGGGAGGAACAGCAGCGGGGGACTTAAATTCTGGTGTGTGCACAGCGTCTCAAGTCCAGTCCCAAGGAGAGGGGCTGCTCTTTGAGGGAAGCTGGAAGCTAGCAGCGCATTTCTCTCTACCTTCCAACCCAGCGTTCCCAGGGAGAGGTTTCCTTCTGGCCTTCCTGAGCCTTCCCTGCACATGTTACCCGGCACAGAGCTAGCTGAGGCAGGAAACTGCCCTCTCTTCCAGCTGGAGACCTAGCTAGAGGAAGTACTGTGTGTGTGTGTGTTATTGTTGGTGTGTGTGTGAGAGCATACGCAATGCAATGGTAGGGTGGAATGCATGGCATTGAGGGTGCTGTATGCCACTGTGGTCCATGTATGGTGGATTTGGTGTGTGCGGTATAGTTGTGGTATGATATATACATACGTGTGGTGTGTTTATGGAGTGCGTGGTGCCACAGACTGCATGGGGTGTGTGTGTGTGTGTGTGTGTGTGTGTAGTGTGATATGCATGTATATGCGTTTGGGGTGTTAGGGGCACGTTTGGGGTGCGTAGTGGGGGGCAACTGGAGTGAGTAAGCCCCACCTCGGCTCCAGGTGGGAGCCAGCTACCCAAGGTCTCCTCACCACAGAAGCCAGGGATAACCAGTAGCTAGGCAACCATGTTGGGGGGAGGGGAGGAGATATGGAGGTGAGGAATGGGCAGGAAAAGGAGGGAGGCTGAGAATTGAAGAGGAGTTTCCATGGCAACTGCCAGGGAGGTCACGTGCAAAAGGCTAAGTTGCAGAAACAGATACACACATCCACACGCACACGATATGAGGGCGCTGGGCCGCCAGGGTGGGGGTCCTTCCACTGAGGACATGCGGGTCCATCTCCAAACCTGGAAATCCAGGTCCAGCCAGAGAACCCACCGCCAAGGAGACAAAGGAAGTGAAGGCAGAAGGCTCAGCAGCCACAGCCCCCTGGGGTGCGGGGTTTGGCAGCAGGGGCCCCCCAGGGCCCACCCCCAGTGCGTTCTCTACCAGCCACCACTTGTAAGAGCCAGAAGCAGGCGCCAGAACAGCCAGAGCCGCTCTTCAACTGTCCGAGGGAGCCCAGCAAGTCACAATGGGGGAGGCTCTGCCAGGGCCAGCGCTGCTGGGGAAAGGGGCTGGCATAAGGGAAGGAGCGAATGGGGGGCCGGGGAGGCCCCCTGGAAGAAAACAGGGCTGGATAAACAAGAAGGAGAGGGGGGAAAAAAAACTGATGCAGACGTTCTCCTGAATCCCGTGCTCTGGAACCCCGGCCCTTCTTTACCTTCATGCCCCCCATCCCCTTGACCACCGCCCGGCCCCAGCCCCCCTGCCCCCCAAGCACCAAGCCAGCAGTCCCATTTTGTATTGCTCTGTGGGTCTACACTCGCATCCAGCCACCTCCCCGTCTTCACATGCCCACGCTCCGCTTAAGCGTCCACGGCCTCCCAGTAACAAAGGGGAAACTCCGGCTGGAAACGGGGTGGGAGCTGCCCCTTCCTCTGCTCCCAAAACACCGTAGCCCCAAGCCCTGGGCGGAGGCGAGCGAGCTGCCGGGGCCCCAGCTTCACCTGCACCCCGCTCCCCTCCCCGCAGAGGCCGCGCTCCCCTTCCGACGCCCACCCCCCGGTTTACACACACACACACACACACACACACACACACACACACAGCGCGTTTCCGCTGCCCGAGGCTGCCGGGGTGTGGGGGGGGGGGACCCTCGAGGGCCGCTCACACCCACTGAAACAAACAAAACGCGGCAGCTCCAGGCTCCGGGACCGGCCCCCATCCCCGCCCCGGCCCCCCGCCGTCCTCGGAAGCGGAGCCCAACTTTGCCTCCCCTCGGCCGCCGCTTACCTGCGCTGCGCGGGGCCCCTCGGAGACGATCCCCGAGGACGCACGGAGTCCGAGGAGCTGGGAGCGGCGGGGCTGGGGGCGGGGCGGTGGGAGAGGCTCTCGCGTGTTTCCCGCCTCCCCTCCTGCGCAGGGCTGGGGCGGGCGGGAGCGGCGCGGCCGGCGGGTGGGAGAGGGGGCGGGGCGCGGCCGGGCGGGGCTCGGGGACGGGCCGCCGCGGGGTCACCGCCGGGCAGCCCCCCTGCTCTCCGCGCCCCCCGGGGGGAGGGGGCGCCTCTCAGGGGGATGGGGTGGGGGCCGGCCCGCTCCAGAAGCAACAGGAGACGGGCGCGGGGGGGGGGGGGGGGGGGGG